TTGATTTTTTTTTTCTTTCTTTTTTCCCTTTTTAGTACCCCTGCATTATGCCCTTATCTGCTAAGATATTACAACTCTTGGACCAGAGATGGGTTGATTGAATAAAGGCACTCCAACTAGTACTAAGATAAGTATATGCTTGGTTATACCGATCAAGTGCCGTAGCATACTTGAGTACAGCGGTGTTTTGACACTCCCTCGCTGTCAAAAGCAAGGAAATGTGTGATGGGCAAGACTTGGTTTTGGTTTCAAGTCATACTGCATTCACCTTTTTTCATCCAAATATCTCCGTCAGTTCTTCCTTTCCTGCGGCTGGTGCAAAGTTCCCAAGGGCAAAAAGTCTAGCCGGAACTGCAGAATCCAACAATGTTTGTGTGCATGTATTCCCTGCTCAAGGAACAGATTCGAATCCTCCTATCCCAGGATAAGAAAGGAAAATGTTTAAGCAACTTTTACTTCCCCTCAATGCCTCCTCCACAGATGACTGTTATGAGAAAATTTGCTCATTTGATTTGTCGGTTTATCCCCTTTTATTCATGCCAACAGTTGGATTCAACTCACTTGCCCATCTTCTAGTTCAAGCAAATTATTGCTTTCAGCTCCACGTGAAGAGTACCCCATTTGCGCTGGTTGAAATCGGTGGAGATAACGGATGAGAAGTTGAGTAGGGACCAAAGAATAGATGGAGCAGTATACGTCATTTCCTCATTAAGTTTGCTAATTGAATATTTACTGCGATATGCTTTATTCTATATGCCCTAGAAAGGAATTATACTCATCTTCAAAACCCCACATCATTGTAGCTGACTAGCCCCTCACCCATATTCTGGATTCCAAGATTCCAGACCAACTTGAAACCATCCCTTAGTCTGCTTTCAGGATAAACAAATATAGCCTCAATATTCTCATTTGCCAAAATGCAATGCACATCATGCAACAACCTATTGCATTGTGGGACGATTTTTTTTTAGCCCTCAAAGTTAATATTTTTGAAAATAACTTTTTTTAAAATTTTAATTATGTTTAGTCAAGAGAAAAGATTTTTGAATAAAATTATCTTTATAAAAACTTCTCATATTCAAGTGCATATACAGAAAAAAAATATTGTCTTTTTAGAAAGAAAAATTCAACATAAATGCTACTCAAAAACAATGATACAAAAGTGAAAAAGTTAATAATAAAAGATTTAAAATATATAAAAAGAAAGATGAAAAAAAAAAAGGATCATCATCATAACCTTGTTTTCATACACACAAAAAACCTAAGTTACACTTAAGGATCAACCCAAAAAACCTAAAAAAATATATTGTTACATGTCATATTTAAGGTGTTTAATTTTAAAAGTTTATATCTTAGTAAAATATAAAAATAGATACTAAGTTACACTTCATACTTAAAAAATAATATTGTTACATACCATGTTCAAAAAAATATTATTAAACACCATGTTGGAAAAAAAATATTGTTACACACCATGTTTAAGGTGTTTAACGCTAAGAATTATGTCGTAGTGAAGTACAAATATAGAGATCAAGTTACACGTTAAGTTGAAAAAAAAATTATTACACATCATATTAAAAAAAAGTTATTATACATCATGTTTAATATACTTAATTCTAAAAATTTATGCTATAGTGAAATACAAAGATAGAGACCAAGTTATATGCTATGTTGAAAAAAAAAAATTATTACACACCATGTTTAAAGTATTTAACTTCCACAGTTTTTATCCTAGTGAAATACAAATATAGAAACCATATTACATGTCATATTGAAAAAAAATCGTTACGCGCTATGTTCAAAAAAAAATTATTACATACCATGTTTAAAGTATTTAACTCTAATAGTTTTTTATCTTAGTGAAATGCAAAGGTAAAAATCAAGTTACATACCATGTTTAAACCATGTCATATTCAATAGATTTATTACATGTCAAGTGTATTAGAGTTGTTACATGTAGGCATGGCATGTAACAACTTTAAATAGTATTCTAATTTATAGATTTTACTTATATAATTTCAACCCATCAATGTAAAAGTTCTGTAAATGTAAATTAATAAATTCAAAAACTTATATTGATGTCATCTTTGTTTTTTATCTGTAAATTGATGATGATATGACAAGAAATAGATAAAGAAAGATAACTATGGTGATAAAATTAGAAGGAGTTGGGTAGTAAGAGAGAGAAATTTGTTTCTAAAAAAAATTTTTTTTTCAATATGAAAATTTTTTATTAAAGGTAATTTTATATAAAAATCTTTTATCTTAACTAAATATAGGTAAAATTAAAAATAGACGTATTTTTTAAAATACATTATCTTTTATAGCTAAAAAAAAGAATGTTACCATTTATCATAATTTTTTCTTATATTTTTTGTTAATTGACGTTTACAAAGATAAGTGGTGGCCATCGTGCATCGGAACACATGGTTTTCTTTTTATTTGGGGACCAACATCAATATTCTTGGTACAAAAATGTTGGGGTGACGAGAGTTCTTCTTAAAGCAGCTTACAGTACAATCACTAGAAAACGACGGGTAACAGAAGGCAGGACGACTTTAACAATTCCGAATCATACATTTTTCTTTTAGTTGGTACGTAATTCATAGTCATATTAAAACAAAGAAAAATAAGGTCACCACCTCAGCCATTTCATCTCCTCTTCAACACGTCAACACATCATTCAACTGGGATTGGGTCATCCTTCCTTGAGTTCGTATAAATAGGCCCCATCAGCCACTACTCGGATCGTGCATCGGAGCTGTTTTATTTTCATTCTACTGGTTTAGGTATTTGTTTAACGATGGCGCTATGATTTTTTTAATGTTTTCTTGTAGATTTGTTTTCTTGCATACAGTGTTTAAGACTGTTCTCTCTCGGATTATGTGGTTAATATTGATGTGGTTGCCTTGCTTTCATCACGAATTTAAGTGGAATTTGTTGAATATGCTGTCATGTTGAAAACCAAGAAAAAGGTTGTCTCGTCTATACGTTATTAAGCTCTAAGCTCTTAGCCTTTGCTCGTCCGTAGCTCTTCTTGATGGGTTCATTAGGTCTCTCTCAGATTCTTTAATCTCATTTCATCACTTTATGTTCTTGAAGACAATCTCCCCATGTTTTAATCTGTTAAAAATTTGGAAACCAAATAGGACTTTAATGCTAAAGTGCTTATAATTGCAGGGTTAAGATTATCCTGGCAGTATGTGATGAAACTTTTTTACAGGTACATTCATGAAGATGGACGCTGTTGGGAGGGCCACTGGAACTAAATATGAATGCTTGCTCTTTGGTATGTTATTGCACGATTAATCTCTCCATTAAGAACAGAATCATGTGATATATCTAGCTGCTTTTGCTCAACCCTCCCCTGTTTTAAGGCATCCAGAACTATTTCTGATTTATGGGGTTTCAATTATGATTTACAGACATGGATGATACTCTGTACCCCTTAAGCACAGGTGTCAACTTGGCTTGCCGCAAGAACATAGAAGGTATGACCCTAAAAAGCAAACGTGATTACTTCAGAGTTATTTCTTTGGGCTATAATCATGTTATAAGCAATTCGACTTGTTTTAATTGTAGAATTTATGCTGCGATACCTGAATATTGAAGAAAGTGAAGTACCAAGAATGTGCTTGGAATTATACAGGGAATATGGAACAACAATGGCTGGTTTAAAGGTGAATGAGAGTTTATCTTGTCCTAAATTCCCTGCTCCTGTTAGGTTTTTTTTTTTATTGGGTGCCCGTTTCTGACAAAAATATGCATCTGAAAATTTGAGTTACAAATGCCCACTTTCAGGCTCTTGGTTATGAATTTGACAACGACGAGTTTCACGCGTATGTTCATGGAAGATTGCCATACGAAACACTAAGGCCTGATCCGGTGTTAAGAAACCTTCTGCTTTCCATGCCCCAGCGGAAAATAGTAAGTGAAGACTCTGAAGTTGAATTCCTTCTAGCTGATCGAAATAAAGTTCTCTGAAAAACATACTGTATCTTGGCTGTTCTAAGATGTTTCGTGATGCTTTCAGATCTTCACGAATGCTGATAAGGCACATGCAAGTCAAGTTCTTAAGAGGTTGGGCTTGGAAGGTTGCTTTGAAGGAATTATATGCTTTGAAACTCTTAACCCTCCTCTTGAACCAGCTGATTTCATGGATGCGCTGGATGATAATCAAGTTCTTGCAGGAGCTGACAGAATTGATGCCAGCTGTGTCAATTCCAATTCACCAATTCTCTGTAAACCCTCGCTGGAAGCTTTTGAAGCTGCCATTCGGATTGCGAGTGTCAATCCAGAGAAAACGGTAAAGACTCAATCCTTCTTGAATTTGAACAAATTTTGGCCTCTGCCGCTTTTAAAACTATGTAAATGATTCATGGATTCCCCATCTTTTTTTTTCATTTTTTCAGATTTTCTTTGATGATAGTGCTCGAAACGTCGCCAGTGGAAAAGCAGCAGGGCTTCACACAGTTATAGTAAGCTCCCTTTTGTTTCTGTATGGCATTCACAGCATCTAAAAACCTGCCCAAACAATATCCTGAGTGGCTAAACATAAACAAGCAAAAGCATAAAGCATTGGTTCTATTTGCTACCATTAACACTCAACGTTCAGTTTTAGCTAACATTGGAACATACTGATGGCAGGTGGGGAGCTCGGTAGTGGTGCCTGGTGCAGACTATGCCTTGAGTAGCATCCACAATATCAAAGAAGCAATACCTGAGATATGCGAAGGTGAAGAGGAGCAGATGGAGCAAGTTATCCAATCTGCTGCAGTTGAAACTGTCGTCCTTGCATAGAAAGTTGAAAATTCCTGGTTTTGAAGGGAGGCTATCCTTGTTATATTATGTACAAGGGAAGCATTCATGTTAAGCTTAGTATATAAATGACCAAAGCTCAGTAATATCCACACGTACTTAGAATGTAAGATATGTATCTTTATGATTCATATACCTAACTATATTTATGGCAATGAAAACAATGGAGAGAAATAGATTGAAATTAATAAAATAAGATGCCACATTAAGAGAAGAATTTTCATGGGATCTGCAAGCTTGTATTGCCCTAAAAAATGAGAAGCACAATAGCAAACCCCTGCCAAGAGCTTACAGAGTATCATCCAAAATTCCTACAATGAATGCTGATTCTTATACATGATGTTTATGCTTATTACATGAACAGCATATCAGCCGTCCAGTGGTAGCTCCCCACAGTTAACAATTCTGCAGGGCACCCGAGGGCTGTCTGACCTGCTTGTCTCTTGAGATTCTAGTTTGCGCACAACATCCATTCCATCAACAACATGTCCAAAAACAACATGTCGATTGTCCAGCCACGGAGTCTGTAAAACACAAAAATACAACATTACATGTAAAGTTTGAACCAAATAACCAACTTAAGCTAACAAAATTGTGTGTATGAATATTTAAGCTCTCCAAGAATAAAAAGTGACTCCCAAGCATTTGACTCATTGATTGGTGCATGATCCCCTACCTAGAGAGCAAGGTTTGAATTCCCCTTCCCTCAATTAAAAAAAAAAAAAAGTGATTTGGGCAGCATGATTGATTAGCAAGACAAATCAGCAGCGCACAGTCAGCATTAAGCTATAAGCAGATAATGCACACATAAGTCAGAATCCAATCCAAAGGTTATACTAATAAGATATAATCCCAATCACAGAGCAAGGGTAGTTCTAGTAGACGTTTATACCTTTTTGGTTCTCAAAAATGACCATAAAAGCACAACTTCCAACAAATATAATGGGTATCAAATTGGAATAGTGCAACCAGATACATCATCTACAAAAAGGAATAAGGCAGCCACAGCTAGATCACCTTTACAGTGCAAATGAAGAATTGGCTCCCATTGGTATCAGGACCTGCATTGGCCATGCTTAATACTCCAGGTCCAACATGCTTCACTGCAGATAACAACCTCAAATATCAGTACCACGCTAGCACTCATTACGATATCCCATAACCTAACAGCCCCAATATAAACTCCAAAATTTTTGAACAAAGAGATTCAAAGTGTATAATTTTTGCACGCTCTTTATTATTACAGCACAACTTACAGTCAAAGTTCTCATCTTCAAACCTGGACCCATAAATGCTTCGTCCTCCAGTTCCCTGCAGCCAGAAAATGAACCAATTTTCTGCTTAGCAATCAGAAGGATTTTTAAAAGGTATATATCTTTAGAAAGTATGAGACGAAAGCAAGAGAGAGTTTACATTTCCGTTTGTAAAATCACCTCCCTGGATCATGAAATCTTTAATAATTCGATGGAAGGAACATCCTTTGTAACCATACCCTTTCTCTCCTGCAACAACAACATCAACAAAAAATATGTTGATCTAATAAGCATAAAACCGGGAAGATAAGAATAAAAGTGGTTTGAAAGAGTGAATATAGAAGTCTAGGCATAGCTTACCTGTGCACAGGGCACGGAAGTTCTCAACAGTTCTTGGAACAACATCCCCAAAAAGGCCCATCACAATTCTACCAACAGGTTCACCTCCAACTTCAACATCAAAGAAGCACTTGGTTGTCACTTTTGATTGCAACGCTACATCCTAAATTAAATCCAAAAATGCGTAAGACGCAGAACAGTGAACACTAGGACAGATGTAAACCAACAGAGCTCAAATTGCACATTCCAGATGCATTACGTTTCCATTTTACAGAAACTAATGATAAAGTACTTACATTTTCCATCGAGTTGCAAACCATTCTCCGGTATTTAAAGGAAGGAGATTTAGAAAGTTGCGTAACAGGGAAACATGATGAATAATTTAATTTCGATGTTAAGGCTCTTCCAGGCGAGCTCAAAGTTTGACTCTGGGAGCACCCTGACTGCGAATTTATGATAAGTGGCCTATGCACGTTTGAAATATCTTGACCCTGAATGAATGAAAGGAAAATGCAGGACAAGTCAAATACTACAATGGGAGAAAATTTCGAAGCAGGAAAAACTTTCCCGGCAAAACTGACCTGGAAAGTTAGGCGAGGGCTATGGACCATCTGCAATGAGAAGCCGCAGGCCATTTTTCTGCGGTTGATCGGTGAAAAGAGTCCTCTGTTATTGGGGCGTCTGGTAAGAAAAGAAAGTGTATTTCGATAAGGCTTTCACTCTCTCTCCCCCGGTCTCGAGTGAAGAAACAGAGAGATATACAGGCTGGTGGTTGGGAATGGGTTGGTATTGTGGTTAACGCGCGACTCGAGTTGCACATCGTTTTCACCGGCGCGATTCTCAAAATATCCGCCGCACGGCCCACACCCATTTTTATATTTCTTTGTTTTGGGTTGGGCTCATGATCTCTTACAAAAAAATTAAAGGCCACAATATAAGGGATACAAGGCCTTGTATTTATGTACCACAAGTTCCGCTGATTATGCTACACGTTGGGGAATAAATTTTTTTTAACATATGAATAAAATATGAAATTAATTTACATTAATAAAGATAATTATCTAAAAATAAAATATGAATCAAAATATTATTTATAAATTACATTTTAATGTGTAAACATAAATTTTTAAAAATTAAAAAATATTGTAATAACGCATCAAATTTATTCAAAATGAACTTGTTTATCAAATTTGAACTTGTTGGATCATTTACAATGCTATCATGAGTAAGCAATACTATTACTAACAATCTATATAATGCATTGTTAGTATTTTTTTTGTTATTTCCTACATCGTAATAAAAAATTAAAAAAAAAACATAAAAATTGTAAATGTAATCAGTAAAAAACTTAAATATTAAACAAATAATAACAAAAAAATTAAAAAGAGTGAAAACTACAAAAAAATTCAATCTCATTTTTTTCTCAATTAAAAATTAAACTAAAAAAACCTCCCAATCTTTTGTCTCAATTTTTCCTTCTGCTTTTGTGTTTTTGTGTGTTTACCAGTTTTAGTATGTGATGGACAAGAATAAGATCTACCAAGGTTAGTGAGCTTATTTTACATGAGCAAATGGTCTGGGAAACTGAAAAGGTACGTATGAGCTTGTTTTCCGCCTTATGAGAACTCACTCATTCTGGCGTTACCATTAAGTTTTAGCATCCAAGAGACAGGTTGCTTTGGCCAACTAGTAAACATGGTGAGTGTACAGTAAAGCTGGGATATCAATTGTTAAGCATATCATTAGATGGTGGAGGATATTGTACCAGTTCATTTGGGTGTCTAGTCAACGATTGGAAGAAATTCTGGAGCCTTGACATCCCCACATCCCCAAAAAAATCCAACTATTTGTATAGAGGGTCTTCCATGGATGCCCTCCAACATGTTTTGCTTTAATTAGGAGAAATGTTGAGATTAATTCTTGTTGTCCATTGTGTAATTACACTTTGGAAACAAATCTTCATGTTCTATGTGATTGCTTTTTTGCAAAGACAATGTGGTTGATTTCAAAGTGGGGTTTCCGGGTTATTGCTCATTATTACTCATCTCCCAAAGACTGGCTTCTTATGTTGCTGCACAGATTAGATAAAACCAATATGGAGGAGATGTGTTGTGTTATGTGGACTATTTGGAAGGGACGTAATTTAGCTGTCTTTAAGAATGAGAGTTTGAGTCCGATCCAAACACTTCAAAAAGGGATGGATATGTATAATCAATACAATAGTGTGTCTGTAGCAGAAAGGCAGCAACACATATCACTTGTAGTAGAGGATTCTCGATGGAGGATACCATTGGTTACCAAACTGAATTGTGATGCTGCTATTTTTAACCAGAATGGAGAAACCTTTGCAAGTGTAGGTTTGTTGTTCGAGATTCAAATGGAGAATTGATAATTGTCGGTAAAGTGAAGATGCAGTCAACCACAAACGTTGCTCTAGCTGAATTGAAAGCATTACATTGGGCTTTGCTGACATGTGAACAAGAAGGTCTGCTATTGTCTGAAGTCGAAATAAATTGCATGCAGGTGGTAGTGTGGATAAAAAACATAATCTTTAATACTGGTATTGGGGCCATTGTGGAGAATTGCTGTTCACTATTACTTAAACTCAACTCCTCTTCACTACGTCATTGTAAAAAGGATACCAATATGGTTGCTCATGCTATTGCTCAGTCTACTAAAGTTTTTGGGATGAACCAAAGTCTTTGGAGAGATGTTTTGTTTTTACTTGTAGCAGCTTAACAAGTGCTGCATAGGGAAAGATTAAATTAAAGAAAAATTGTTTAAAGCATGGTACAAGGGTACTTTTTTTCCTTCTCTTGAATTTATCCTAAAGCATTTTTCCACGAGCAAGTTTTTTTAATGAGGCTCTATTCCATGCAATAGGATATGTTCTATGCTTAACTATTAAACTTGATACTGTTCCTGTTAAACCTTTCTGATATGGAATGAAATTTCTTGTTTCAAAAAAACAAAACCTCATTATTAACTTTTTATTTTCTTGAATTCATTTATCTAATTAAGTATTATTATCCATAGATTTTGTCTTTCTTACATTAAGAAATTTTCTTCTCAATCAATTAAATAGATATTTTGAAATCAATTATGGTGTGTCAAGTATTTTTTTTTATGCTAATAAAAAAAACCAATTAATGAAACTTAAAATATTATAAAATTATGCAAAATTAATTTCACATTTAACCTTTTCTTTACGTTTTTCTTGTTTTATTTTTCGATAACCCTTTAAATATCTTTTAAATGTGTGCAGTCTTGTGCTTTTTTTAATTAGTAGTTAGACTTTCTTTTTTCTGTTTTTTTTTTTCTTTTGATGTTGAGATTTTAATTTTGATTTAATTCTTTATATATATGTAATATAAATATTGAAATTTTTAAAAAAATTATTCATTAAAATACATTATAATATAATTACATTATCACTGTATTCAATTTATTAATATTGTCGTAAGCTATTTTTAGTTTTACATTGATCATATATGTGTGTATCTTGACCAACTCCTAAAGTAGAATTTTTTTTACCTATGATTATTAGCATTTACACACCATAGATATTTGGTTTTGACTAAATTATTATTTCTTTAAGAGTTGTTTTGTAGAATAGAAACAAGTATAGAACAACTATGTCGTGTGGATGACAATAAAAATAACCTGAAACAAATGATAAGGTTCACAAGTTAATTTTATCACTAAAATATTTTAAAAAAACAGATTTGATGGTTGAAATTTAAAAATAATTAATAAATCTTTCTCTTAAACTTTCATTCAAGTATTTTACATTTTCCTCATTCTCAAAAAGCACATGAGACATTGTTAACTATCATTGAACTCTATTATATCATTAAACCCAAAAATTCACCCATTACCCACTATACATAGTGGGTTAACGTGTAATCCCCATGATGAATATGTTCTAACATAATGAATTGATTCTTCCCATGATGAATATGTTTTCTCTAAACATGCTATTTCCATGATGTCTAATAAGCATTTTCTAACCAACTGTTGCATAGAAATCGCTTTTACTTTGGTGTGTGTATGTATAGAAGTTTGGCAATTCATTGAGGAGAGATTAAAAATTCAACAAATTCCGTCTTAAAAGCACTTTCTAAATACTCTCTCTCCTGTACACAACTCTTTTCATCCTATGTTCCTCCTCTAGTACACTTTCTTTACCTTTTCATTAATTTGTATCATTTATCTCCTGTTACAAAATACCTAATATTTACTTTAAGGATCACTCCAATCTTCTTCTATATCATCTTCAGTGCTTCTTATCAAAAAGACCTATTGCACATACATAAATTATGATGACTGAATTCTATAACATGCTTATCACGATGATGAATTATTCAATGAATTTGACAAAATCAATTAATTTTAGGATACGTTTGTTTGACTCATAAAGTAGAATGACATGAAATAAAATAATTATTTTGTGAAAATATAATAAAAATATTATTATATAGTTTGGTTGATAGGATGTAATAAGGTAGAACTTTCTAGTATAATTTATTGTAATATTTAGTTGGTAAAAATAATTTTAAAAGAATATAAAAATAGATAATAAAAAGATAAAAATATCTTTTATTATATTATAAAATTATATATTTTTATTTTATTTTTTAAATATTTCATTCATAATTTAATCATTAACATTTTATAACCCCTGAAAATAAAAATACCAGATGTGAGGTTGTCTGGAATATCCGGGATCCAAACAAAAGGCCCGGTAACCTCACCCAATACATCAGGCACATCGTAGCGTCCAAACTGGAAAGAAGCCGCGTCCAAACTGGAAAGAAATGTCCAAGTTCAGACCACATACTGACAGCAGCGTGAATATATTAGATATTATCCAGACATCAGAGGATCTTTCAGGGACGGCATTTATCAGTATTCAAAATTCAAATGAATACTGCTAGGACTAGAAATCTGCTAGCTCGTTATCAACAATCAGACTCCTTCTCTCATAATAATTCCCAACCACCCCAACACCCCGATAAAATCCAAGACTCCTTTAGTTAATCCATCTGCAATACTGTTCCCTTCTTTCTTTATATGTGTCGCTTTCCAACCATGAATTTTATTATGAAGATTCTCAATTTGCAGTAAAACCTAGTTGAACCTCTACGAAGCATGCTTTGGATTATTGACCCAGCTTACAGTATTGAGAGAATCACTATTTATTCAAAAATTCTACAAATATTGATTCATTAAGCCAAAAAACAATTAACAAGCTTCATTTATTATAACTATTTTAGCTAAATTTGAATCTCAATGTCTTATACATTTCAAGAATTTAAAAGAATATTAACTTCCGCATAAAACAAGAATCCAACTCATATTTGAAAATTGAAGATAAGGTTTCAAAATTTTGGAACTTCCCCTTTAATTATAATTTCAAAAGAATTTCACGAATTTTCCGTTGGATTTGACAAAACCAATTAATTTGGTATTTTTTAAAGAAATTTAATTAATTTAGTATATTAGCTTCCAACCCACCTCGGTAAGGTACGACTCTTTAATTGGTTTGACTAACTTAATTGTACTCCTATTTGCTCGAAGAAAGAAAGCCGCCTCATTGCCTTTCTTTTGGTAAAAAAAAAGAAAACTGCATTGATTTCTCGATAGACTTTTTTTTTTCTTATATAAATATATACGGGGACTTGCATGAAGAGCCAAGTTCAGATGCTCGATCAAGCAAATTACGTGAATACCAACACTAACCTTTGGAAAAAAAAATTATATACTAGCGATGATATTTCCATCATCAAGTGATGGGAATCAATAACTTGTGTCGATCGTTCTCTTATCCTAGAATTAATAGAAGTTGTCTTCTAAATAAAGTACCATTGCACGGTAAGAATGTTGAGTTCACTGTTCTTCTAACCCAATAAAATATAACAATGAAAAAAGAAAAAAAAATAATTATATAATGATGATGATTAATGAAGCCCATCTGTAAACTAAAACCCCATCTCTACACAATCATCCTAATTTAATGTACAAAATCAGACGCAGATACAGATCTAACAACGATAAAAAATTATTGCATAATTGATCTCAAAATATTATTTTTTATTTTTTAAAATCAATACAAGATTCATATCTTTCAAGTCAAATATAATTTTAAAAAAATATCTATATTATATATAAAAAAAAACACTCAAGCGTGGCCTCCCAGCTGTAGTCAGGTTTCTGCCTTCTTTTATTGACATATGACTATTTTTAAGAGATTTTAAAATTATTTTTATGAGGTCGGTCGCATTTAGAGATGTGGGTAGAGGATGCAGTCAGAAGGGGTGAACCACGTGGAATGAGAATGGAAACTGGAATGGTTTGCGATTTTTTAGCCATATGCAACCCACAAGGACGAAGTGGCAGGCCGTGGAGATGGGCATCACATGAGACGAGTCAGCGAGCACAAACTTTGAGGATTTATTTGATTTAAAAGCCTGAGGACACTTAACTGCGATAGTCCCACCCTCGGCTGATTTAAAAACTTTGAGGATTTATTTGATTTATAAGCCTGATTACAAGGACATCCATCGCTCGGAGGATGATGATCCCATGTAACTTTCCTATGTATAGATGTACTTGATCCCGCCATGTGCAGCAATGGAGCAACCGGGCTTCCTCACTTGATCACGTATCCGTTATAGAAACTGTTTAAAAAAATTGAAGAGTTTATTTTCGAAAGAAATATGAAATTATTTATGTAAATTGTAAAAATGTAAACTCTACATGAGTTGTATGTATTTATATACGTAAGTGTCTTGTGTTTAACCACGATTCCTATTCTAATAATATTAAAAGGAAGCTGCCGCCTATAGTCAGCAGAGAAACCATCCTTTTGAGTTACTCCAAAGATCAGATACTTCATCAAGGGAGCTTGAACTTACGAGTAAAAGCGACGCCCATAAGTCAGGTTGGAGTTTGGCATAAATTTTACAGTTCATTTTTGGTTGCATAATAAAGAGTGATTTTGTTGTTTGGGCACATGATTGAGATTGACGGTTGAGGATACATATCCAGCAATCCGGTTGGCCAAGAATGTCTCTCGCTTACGACGGACGAGGTACCATCAGTCAAGGTGCATACATGCTTTTTCTACATATTTTCCTTTCCCGATAACCCTTCTCTCTCTCTCTCTCTCAATGCTTTTATTTGTGTTCAAGGTGATCTCATGCGCACCAGCGAAATAAAATGATCCTGAGACTAGTTTTAAGTGAAAACCCGAGGGCTGGGGAAGCTTGAATTAGATACCGACAGGCCATTCGGCATATGTGTATATATACATATATATATATAAATATATATAGCTGGAATTAATGATGAATCTTTCTTATTGTCAATGGCGCAGCCTCTTATGGGATATGGGGCTGGGGGGGCGGAGGGCTGGGGTTGGCGCATGGCCCTCCAAAATTTTAAAATTTTTTTAAATGATACATAATTTTTTTTTAATTTTTTATACTTAATTTTAATGATCTCTTAAATAATTTTTTATTTAATAATTAATACAAATAATAAATAATAAAATAATTTTATATGCTTGATTCAATTTTAATTTTTTTATATTTTTTAATTTATATTATTATTTTATTTTATATTTTTATTATATTTATTTATATATTTTAAATCTCTACAGTTTTTCTTTTACAAATTTTTACTCATCATCAATTATATATATTTTTTATCACGTTAAATGTAAATTCTATCTTCTACTTATCATATTTTTCTTTTTCTGTTATATGGATTTGATTTTTTATGATTTTAATCATTATAAATAAATAAATTATTATATAATTCTCAAATATAAGTTACAATATTATTTAGATTTTCATCAATATATCGTTTTTTATTTAAAATAACCAATGCATTCTAACATGTATGTTACAAACTTTAAATAACAAAAATATACATACAAGTTGATAGAATTAAATAATTATATTTATTTCAACATAATTTTATTTATTATATATATTTGTAAGAGTTCTTAAAATAATTTTTTATTTAATAATTAGTTTTATTCTTTAATCTGTTTGATAAAATTAAAATCATTGTGGTTAACATATTGTTAATTAAGCCTAGTAAATAAATTCTAAACTAATATGCTAAGCCTATCAAATTCTAAAAAAATAAAAGTGAGTCTACTAATCCAAACTTATTAAGGTTAATATAAATCTAAGTCTATCATAACATATTTTATCTTACCAGTCCAACCTACTAGCCTATCATAACATATTATATCTCCATAATTCAACTTAATAACCTAATATGCTAATTAATAATTTATGAGGTAAATAGAAAATAAGAAGAGAGCTAAAACACATAAAGTAAATAAGTAATTCATTTATATTTGAAAAATTATTTTCTCTTTCACTCTTGCTTGCAAAGAGCGAGAAAGACTCCTTTTATAGTTTCATTCAGTCATATATATAAATGATACCATCATTATTGTTAATGTGTATATTTTTATATATTTAATATTTTTAAAATTTTATTTAATTTTTTAAATGAATGATAATTGAATTATATATAAAATTCTGATCTATTTAATGTCTCTTTCTGTTTAAATTCTTTTATAAAAATGCTCTAACTCCATTCTGCTTGTTGTGTCTAAATGACAAGTTTAAAAGAGTTATAAAGCTGAAAAAAAGGGATATAATCAACTTAGGTGATGTTTGGTACTTTACAATTTAATGTAATTATAGGTAATATGATTGTAAGTAATGTGATTACAAAGAAAATAATATTACAGTGTTTAGTATACAAGTAACATAATGATTAAAATATAGAAAAAATAACATTACAGGGTTTGGTTTACAAGTATTTTGTTAGAAATGTAATGTTAATTTTTAAAATTATCTTTATTTATTAAAATGTAAGTTTAATATATTTATATTTTTTATTATTAATTTTTATATAATATCATCTCTTAGATATATTTTTAATATCATATATTTTATTTTTTATTTTTATTTTTATTTTTTATTTTATTTATTTAATATAATTTTTTATATTATATATTTTATTTTAATTTCTTTTCCCTATATTATATAAATTTTAATTTCTTATATTTTGTTTTGTTTTAATTTCTGATTTCTATATTATATATTTTAGTTTAATATTTTTTATTTTAATTATAACGTTACAAAATATTTTTGACAAAGTAATAAAGTTGAAGGGTAATAACATTACATAGTGTAATGTAATATGACTGCATTAGTTTTACACTGCAATGTAATCTACTGTAATGTGACAGTAGAAGGCCCCAAACTCGGCCCCCCAACTCTATTTTCTGAATGCCATTAATGCGCCATTGGCAATTGGTTACTTGTTTGTATAGATTTCAAACTTGGCTGACAGCTATAAGAATGGCAGTAAGCTCTGAAGCTCGTAGTCGTAGACTTGTGATCTCTTCTGGGCTTTCGCAAAATGTCTCTTAGCTGCAAAGAACATGTAAACTTTCGAGGTATTGCTATATTGGATATTTCTTCCACTCTTTTTTTCTTCTTTTTTCCCCTTTCAGTGCTTTGTTTCTATGATAAATAGTGCATCTACGCAGGGTCTTGATTGTATAGCTTGACTGCTCATTATATAAGGAGTGTTGTCTAAAAGATGGGGAGAGGATTGAACCCGTGCCCTACTTTCAATTTTAAATTTTGAACAATATTTCTTTCTTTTTTTTTTGTTATGAGTTGTACTTATTAGTGTGAATTTAAAAAACATCACATAAAATTTAATAAGTTTACCTTATTCAAAATCTTTACTTCGATCTTATTTTTCATAAAAATATAAATTAAACTCTAATAACTTCTCTAGTTCAAAATATGATATCATTTTCAATATCAATTAATAAATTGTGTCACTAATCACTTATTACTTATTAAAAGAATGAATATCATTTATTCTAAATTTTTTTCTTTATACAAGAAAAACCTTAAACCCTAAAACATCGTCATTTTGCAAGAAGTGTCTTGGTGCTTGCTGTGTGCCTCTTTGGCCGGTGGTAAACTCCTTGGAACCCTTTTGATTGTATAGTCATGAATTTGTCCTTTGTTGTTGCTTGCTGGGATCATATTGTGTGTGGATGGTAAAGGTGCAATCCCAGTTCTTCTTTTTTGCTTTGATGTTTCGATGGGTCTCTTTTTGATGCCTTCATGATGTTATTGGAAGATGTGCTGGTTTTTGTTTAAGGGTCATCTCGTCCTTTTTCAGCCTTCTGGGTGTTGTTTTTGTTCTTGCTTGGGGAACCCTTTAATTCCTCATTATTAATGGAAGTTCTCTCTTGATTTTCAAAAAAAAAAAAAAATTGCAAGAAGAAGGACCAATTGAAACAGTAGCTTAGGGAGCTACTTTTATATATAGTAATAAATATTTCTTCGTAGGGTTAAAAACAAAACAAATTACCTTTCATTACTAAGAATAACTTTTGTGTTTCAAAAATTTTAAAAAATACCCTACCAGGAGGTTTTTTATTCTTCAATATTCAAGGCTTATAATAAGCATGTGAATCAGGTTCCCGAGCCCAAAAGGAAAAATGGGTCTGAATCAGGACCCAAGGGCAGCTTGAGATGTGAACTTGCAAGCCTAATAGGCGTACAATCGTTGGGCCTGGGAGCAATATCTGTATTTTCTTGGAAACCTACCGAAATTCCCAGGAAAATTTCTGGCAGTGGAAAATGTTGGGGTGTGGCCTTTCAGTTAAGCCAAACAAAACATGCGCGCCTATCCAATTCCACCCTCTCTAACTGCTGTTTCCACCGTCGAGCTCGCGCCTTTCCCCACCACCCGATTTCTTCTCAACCCACCAATCTCCGACAAAACCACCTCCCTTTTTCTTTCAACTTCCTGTCCCAGGATTCTGTTCTCTAAATTTAGACCCAACCCTTTTTGTTCCAACTCTGATGCCACCTCATCAGACACGAATGAAGATGATGACAATGATGATGTTTATTTTGACGATGATGATGGTTTTGTTTTGTCAGATGAGAAGGCACAGACGTTGTCTGAAGATGGTTTTTTTATTGAGATTAAAAAGCTTGGAGGGAACTCTCGTAGAATTCGGTCCAAAATTGGGATTGAAGCCAGCCTCGATACTGTTTGGAAGATTTTGACTGACTATGAGAAGTTGGCTGACATTATTCCGGGTCTCGCTGTCAGCAAAGTTGTCGAAAAAAAAGACAAATTTGCTCGACTTTATCAGGTAATTTACTTACACCCCGTTTCTTTGAATTTGTGTTTCATACTCCGTTTGGTGTTTGATTTAAATTCAGTTGCATGTGGACTTTGACAATGTTGTACTTACGATCGATTAAGCTTTTAAGTAAGACAGCAGCAAATACAGAATTTTTAGAATAAAAAGAAAGGTTTTTCTGGGTGTCTTTTAATATGGGTAAGAATTTAGTGAATATTTTGAGTGTCAAATGCTGGGTGGGTCAAGAAAACAAAAACGGGATTTTTGAGTTCCTACTGAGTAATTAAGCAAAGGGATAAACGGAGAAAGGATGTTGTAGGGATTGAAACTCTTCTTCCCCAGATAGATTTAAATGTTTGATAGGGTAGGGTAGCATTGAATTCATTCTCTTGATATATGTCCAAAATGTTGTCTATTGATAAATGTTCCTCACCCTCCAATCGCTAACCAACTGTTCTTTGTATATAGTGATTGCTTTGATTCTTTGTCTATCACTTGATTGAGAACTTTTGTCTGGATGCAGGTTTTTTTATTCTAAAGTGTAGTCCTTACCTTCTGCCATGGATGTAATTCATGTAATCGTTCTGTTACATTCTTTCAACAGATTGGACAGCAGAACTTGCCATTGGGTTTGAAATTTAATGCTAAAGGAGTTTTAGATTGTTATGAGAAAGATCTTGAGATTTTGCCTTCCGGGAAAAAGCGTGAAATTCAATTTAAGATGGTTGAAGGTGACTTTACACGTTTTGAAGGGACATGGTTGATTGAACAGGTAAAGAATTAATTGTTGTTAGGTTGTTCAGCACCTTTGAATTTATATTTTTCAGGCCATTGCTTATCTCTGTCTGATTTTTGGCTGCAACTTTCATACTTATCATTTTGACAAATTGCTTAGCTGGTTCTAGAGGAATTGCAATAGATCATGAGTTAGCTGGAAACTATGACTTAAGGCATAAGAATGAAGTAGCAGAAAACCCATGAGTTTTGAGTCCTAGCTGATTGAAGAATTCGATCCAGTCAAATCTTGTCCTTTGGTCTGTGTTTCACAGCAGGACTAAGTCACATCTCATCATAACGTTTATCACGAATTTTGGCTTTGAGATAGCTTATAAAAGATAGTGACAGATTGTACCAAAAAAACAAACCTCTTTTAATCCAAATGGTTATGTATTACACCCTCTTGGAAGCTTGAGTCAAGTGAAAGGATCCATTTCCTGCTAGATGGAGAAAAGTATTTTGATCCATACTCTGCTTAAGCCTTTAAGAAACTAGCCTTCTTTGTTGGCTCTCGCTATAAGTTTATTGTGTCTGCTGCAATGCAAATGACTGAGCTAAACGAAATGAAATTGCTTTGGCTTGGCTGCATTTAGCACTTGTTATCTTATGACAAGTGCATTTCACTTTAACTTTTTATTTCAACATTTGTTATTCTATCCAATCTTATATTGCTGCTTGTTTATTCCAAAGTTCTGACTGGTATTGAGCATGATTGTTTTTAGAACCTGTTGCTCTTAAGGGTTGCATCTATAAAATTATATGGTATAGCAAAAGCTTCCTCGGAAATAATTCTTTTTAAGATTTGTTATAGTCTTTGATTAGGATATAAGGTTCATAATCCAAAAGCTAAGAACTCTCTTAATGATGGGGTGTGCAGCTTAATAAAGGAAAATGCAAAGGCGAAGAAGCATTTTTTGGTCAAGAAATCCAGACAACCCTTTCTTATTTAGTTGATGTAAAGCCAAAGATGTGGTTGCCAGTTCGCCTTGTGGAGGGCAGACTTTCTAGCGAGATAAAGACGAACCTTTCCTGTATTCGCGAAGAAGCAAAGAGAGTGATAAGTGCTTTGAGCTCTCTTTAATATTATTTGCTTGGACAGATAAGTCTCCAAGCACGCTACTCAAGCATAATCTATTCAAGATCCAGTTTCATAATGGAAGAATGATTCACCCCCAACCCTTTTTCACCTATTGATATCCTCCTGCTTTACATTGTCTAAGAAAGAGTTGAGGAAAAGGGAAAGAATTGAGTATGATGGACACTCTGGTGAAAGGATTTAATATTTCTTTAGTGTAATATATTATTTACTATTAATTTATAGTAAAAGAACTAATGATGTTACATGTCTTTTTCGTGGGTTAAAATTTGAGAAATGATGACAATGATGTTGTTGATCAGAGGAGGCACGTTGGGTAAGTTTTTGTGACAGCCCTCAAAGGGCCAAAAGGGTTATGTTCCAAGTAAAGGGGAAGAACATGATCAAATTCTAGGGAAACATCAAAGTGACTCTAGGGCCAAACTTTACAAAAGGTGATCACACGAAGTCCAATACTGTGGGGTTCCGCAATCTGTGGTGATTGAACTATCAAAAACCCAAGAGGGTGGAAGAAGAGAAGGGAGTAAAAAATAAAGAAGAAGAAGAAGAAGGGATAAATACCTTTTGCAGAAATGTATTTGTTATGTAAAATACGGTAGTAATTGGTCGCAAAGGGGGTAAGAAGCTGAATGTTGAACATGGACAAAAAGGACATGAACAAATTGGCAAGTGGGTCCAACATGTTTGACCCATTTTCACATGCAGGTAAGGTAATTCGTACAAACTGGCTCTTTGTTTTTGCTGTTTACCAGAATTTTGTAGTTTCCTTTCCTAATCCTGTTACTGTACTATTAGCCGCATTGACGTCCTTAGAATCATCCCTGGATGACTTTGCCTGCATGGATTATTGGGAAAATTGTTGGTTTTGCATTTCCAATCAAGTTCATCTGTTGATCTTAAGATTGCCCCGTCAAATAAGGAACAAAAAGAGAGATTAGCAATTGATTGATCAATCCTTTTCCACGCGGGTTGAAAATGGGAAGAATTTCCACTTTTCGGCCCATTGATGCAGGAATCTAATCAAAGAGATTTTGCGGTGGAGTTCACCCTCTTGAGTAATTAATTGCTTCCTTCGCCTATAAAATTTTCAACCTGTCGTTCGATTTCCGATCATTCTTACTAAGATTTTTTTACCTGATGAAAATAAGAAGCAAGTATTTGGTGATTTACATATCTCATATCTTTCGTTTTTCAACTCAAGACAAAACTCAAATTCAGTTCTACCCCCCTTCCAAAGCCCCATGTATACGAGCTTGTCAAAGACAAGGAGTTGAAAGCGACATTTTGTTCACTAGTTTGATATAACCTTGACCTAACTTCAATCAGCTTGATTTGAGGGTTTGCTATTGGCCAGACAGGTCGTACACGATTATCACCTACTTTTAAACATGAATTCTTTTTCTTTTTTTTTATTTTTCCCCATTTGATACCATAATTTAGTAAAAAAAAATTTGAAAAAATTGAAAAAATCGTATTTAAGTTGGTGTAAATCTAACTAAATTCTTCAGTCTTTCTCTCGCAAACGAATCAAAGTTGATGAATCGAAGTAGCAACCACGATTCGTGCGTTCACTGCTTATTTAGGAGCCTTTAAAAGTGAATTGTCCGATAATGTTTGACGAAAATGGCAATAGATTAGGGCCTAGGATTCATCATTTAGGGCAGCTGGTGACTTGTCACAAAGCCCACGCTGCGGCCAGGGGGTATTATTATTGACTATGAAGATTATGCACCACAACAAGCTCGCCATTTCAATACACAGGAACCCCGAAAGAGAAATAAGTCGGAACAGGGAGAATAGAACGTACATAGAAATGAACGGTGTCGTTCTGAAACAATTAAATTTGGTTGAGATTCGTATAAAAGTAAATATTAACAAAAGGTCACCTCGGACTTAGATTACTTGCAAGAAACAAAAGTAAGCCATAAACTGAAGGCAAAGCCAATGGTGTCTTATTATAAGTTGATAACCAAAATAATGTAATCATATGTCGGATCCTGTTTATTATAATTGGCACTTTTTCAGGTTGCTTTACTCTCTCTCTCTCTCTCTCCTTTTTTCTCTTTCTTTCTATGTCTGTCTGTCTCTTTTTTTTTTTTTTACTATAGTGGAACATTCACAGTTTCTTCTCCACTTAGAGCAATAAGATATGGGTTCTTTTTTACAGCAAAGTAAAATTAATCATTCACCAGCTCGGTGATTACTCCTTTTCTCTGTAGCACAAAAATGCTTCTGACTAATGATCATTTGATGGAATCATTATTCTTTCTGGCATCTGCGATTGTGAAGCTTTTTTGAGATGGAGACTCCTTGCCTTGGGCAGAGCAAATCCACTCAATACAAAACCCAACCCAAAAATAAATAGAAAATAAAAAAAAAATAATATAATGTTTTATTTTATATGCTCGATCACAAATTAATCATCATGATCCTTAGCCACATAATTGTCAAAACCTATGACCTTTTGGCAAGTATTAATCAACTAACACAAACCATGAGTGGATTCGGAAAAACAAATCCAAATTTATTTTTTTAAAAAAAGGGGTTTCATTTACTTTAATCCCCACTTTGATGTAATTCACATCAGAATCTGATCTCAACTCATCTCCTTACTGCCAATTCTTTCAATTTCTTTTTTGAACAACATTATTCAATGGGAGAGTGGTCTTTGGAAGGATGTGGGAACCAAACTAGACTTTATGGGGGGATTCATTTATTTATTTATTTAATATGACTACTTATATATTTCTTAATGGGCATTTCCCTGACTTATGATTTTGTTTGCATATGAAGGATTAATTTGTGGGCTTAGACTTTGGTTGCAGATACCCACTTTCAACCACTTTGTTTCTTTAATGCAAGGAAGTGTCATTATTCTATTGAAACATATTCATTGTACTAGTGTTTAAACTTTGATCTAAACAAATCATGGACAAAAGAAATGATGCCAAGAAAATTTTAATTAATTTATAGGCGTTGAAAAGAGGACAACAACTTGGGGAAGGAGGGTTTGGTCATCATATATTCTAGTGGATTTAGTTTAGTTAGTCAACAATGTAAGGATACAAAAGGTCATGGATTTGGCATCCCTTGCCGCATGTTAGGCATGGCTTTATATGCCCAACTGCACTATATAAAAAATAAATAAAAATATTCATCACATTTCAGTTTAATTTTTATTCCCTAAAGCATATCTCTCTCTATCTCTTGGTTGAGAAATTCCCTTTTAAACATTTAATGTGCCTAGAATTATTGATATATCTTTCTTAATTGACTTATTGTCTCCTTTTTTTTTTCTTCTTCTTGATTTTCTTCCCTTTTTGGTTGGCTTCAGAATAATGTCTTTGAAACTGTCGTCAGTCAAACTATAAACCCATACTCTTTGAAATGTGTTTCTCTTTAATTTGACAAACGAAACTGCTAATAATTAATGGCCTCATCCGGAACACGTACCCATCGAACCTCTTTTGCATGTAAACAAAGTCAATCCAAGGTTTACTTCTTACACAATTTGTGTTCTCACCGGGTAATAAGCTTTAGCTCTTTCATTTGCCTATCAATTCTACTTGGATTGCCGTTGAACTGCAAGGAATGAAATATACGTTAAATGATTTATTTCATAATAATTTTCTTTCGTAATAATTTTCTGTTTTTTTTTGTTTTCTTTTTCTGAATAATTTATATCGCATGCAATCTCCAAATTCCAATAATTAATATTGTACATTATTTTATGATAATAACAGTTAGTGGTAAGGTTAATAAATGAAGTTCAAAAAATATAGTTAAAATGAATTGGGAAAAAAATATAGGTTTTGACTTTAGTAAAGGCATCATTAATTGAATAAGCAAATTTAAAAGTAGGGGAACATATTGTCCAAATAGGTCAGACCACTTGTTGTTCTTTATTCAATGAAGGATTGATTTTTTTTTTAAAAGAAAAAACCAAACAAATTGAAATATAAAAATGTGAGATTGAAATATATAAGTGAAATAAATATATAAATGATCTCTTCTAATATCTTTTCTCTTTTATTAAAATATTTTAAAAAATAATATTATTTTAAATCATAATTATTACACATTCATATTTTTAATTTTAAAAATATATTACGAATTTGCAATCCTTGATGCTTCATCCTACTCAATCATGTAATTAATCTTTACACGAATTTTTTTATCTAAAAAAAAATTCACTTTGATTGACATTTAATTCGATATTGATATTCTTCAAATATGATTGTATAGTTATCTTTTTTAATTCAAAAACTATATTTATAAAGCAGAAGAAGGTGTTTATTTATAAATTTTAAGATTTATTTTATTTTTATTCAGATGTGTGATTTATGGCAAAATAGTGAACATAACATTATAATTTTAACTAAATAAAATAAAAAAATTAAACTATCCTTTTATTTAATTTTTTTTGTAAAGGTCAAAGACTCAAAATTAGGAAGGGATGACCCACTGTACCCCCCACCCATCTAATTTTATTGATGAGTATGATGATGTGTATTGCCAATTTATTGACTCCAACAGCACCAAACACACCGCCAATCATTTGTAAGAAAATTTTTAAAAAATTCAAGTATAAGTCCAATAAAAAAAAACCAAACCGAAAACACAAAACAAAACAAACCGAACCAAACCCATGTTATAACAGTCTCAACTTTTCAACGTTGTTATAAAATACTAAAGAAAGAAATTAGAGGTTTTTTTTTTCTTTTTTTTTAATTTTTTTTCTTTTTTTTCTTTTCTTTTTAGTTTTTACCCTCCCAAACCATTTGAAAACCCCAAGAAAGAAAGACCCTCCTTGATGAACTAAACTTTGATTCTTCATCATCAATAACCAAATCCCAATTTTTATTGTATTTTTCCTTTTAATCTCTCAAAAACTAATACCCACATTTCCTCCTCTTATATTTCTCTCCTCAAACTTCCCTCTCTTCTTCTCTCCGGTTCCATTTCCCCCTCCTTGTTTAACTCACTCAAAAAATCTATTCTTCGTTTTTTTTTTCCATTCAAAATACACTGTATATATTATAAACATAAATATATTAATTTATATGAACTTATGTCTTGATTTTGAACAGTTGTTACATGGCTGCATGATTCAATCATGGGAAGGGTAGTTTCAATCTGGGTTTTTGGTTTTAATTTTTAATATGGGTACTTTGTCAGATTCCACAACAAAAAGAAATCTTAAATTTTTGGTGTCTTTGTTTTTATCTGATGTGTTCCATTTACTGTCCCTTTGCTTCTCCAGTAGATCTGTTTTGCTGGGTATGTTCGATCCACTGGTTTATTCATGCTTCAACTTCCACTCTTTAAGGTCAGATCGTCACATTTTTGACTCTCTCTAGTTATTGCTTTTTTCCTGCCTATACATATACTGTTTTTCAATTCTAATTATCTAGGAAAGACTTGGGTTTATGCTAATTTTAGCTGCAAAGTTGCTAATTTTTATGATGCTAAGTTATCAGAATAGTGACAGGGTGGTTAAGGGGTTTATTGGGTTTTGGGGTTTTGGTTTGAGTTCTTTTGTTTCTCATTTGCTTATGGTGCAAAGTCATAGAAACCCTCCTCATCAAAGGTTTAGTCTTTAGGGGGTTTCTAATATAGAAAGGAGAAATGGGTAATGGGACTTCTCGTGTTGTTGGTTGCTTTGTGCCGTTTAATGGCAAAAGTGGGGTTGATTTAGATTTTTTGGAGCCTTTGGATGAAGGTTTAGGCCATTCATTTTGTTATGTTAGGCCTACGATTTTTGACTCTCCTGCCATTACTCCATCAAACTCTGAGAGGTTTACTGTTGATTCAAGTACTCTTGATTCTGAGACTTTGAGTGGGTCGTTTAGACATGATGCCATAGAGGATCCCTCAGGACTACAAAGACAGAGTAAGAGTTTCCCGGAAACCACATTTAAAACCATCTCTGGTGCATCTGTCAGTGCAAATGTTTCAACAGCTAGAACTGGTAATCAGAGTGCAATGTTTGCTACTGATGTCCAAGAGCCTGCTGCATCATTTGAAAGCACCTCTTCATTTGCTGCAATCCCTTTGCAGCCAGTTCCTCGTGGTTCTGGTCCTCTGAACGGGTTTATGTCGGGACCTCTTGAGAGAGGGTTTGCTTCCGGGCCTTTAGATAGGGGAGGTGGTTTTATGTCTGGACCAATTGAGAAGGGTGTGATGTCTGGCCCCCTTGATGCCACTGATAAATCCAATTTCTCAGCTCCACTTGCACGTGGTCGTAGAAGACCTCGTTTCCAGCGTTTCATGAGAAGTGTTAGTGGACCTATGAAAAGAACCTTTTCAAAGCATTCAATGGGGTCTGGTTGGATGCAAAGATTTTTCTTGCACCCGGTGACCCAATTGGCATGGCAAGTTAAGGAGCCAAAGTTTCGATCAGAACATTCCCGGAATTGTCTTGAAGGGGGGCCATCTGAAGGGGAATATGGGAACAGTCGCAACTTGCAATGGGCTCATGGAAAGGCTGGTGAAGATAGGGTTCATGTTGTGCTTTCTGAAGAGCAAGGATGGCTTTTTATTGGGATATACGATGGTTTTAGTGGTCCTGATGCTCCGGATTTTCTGATGAGCCATCTTTATAAAGCCATAGACAAAGAATTGGAAGGATTGCTCTGGGATTATGAAGATAAATCTGGAATTGATCTGTTAAAATCTGAAATATCTAAGAGTGGAAATCCTGATACTGGTCTAGAGTGCAGCAAAGAAGATCAGTCAAATTTTTGTTCAGATCAAGAATTATCGTCTAGCGTAGGAGAATTTCTTAATCGAGAAAATATCGAAGGTCAGTCTTCTAATAATGAAATAGTTGAGGAAAATGATGACGTGAGAGGTAAAGTGGAGCAGAATTTATCTGATTGTAGAAATTCCAATTTAGGTGTTGAATCTGAGTGTGTTCCACATGCAAACTTAGCTGGTCAAGGCCGGAAAAGCATGCGGCTGTATGAGCTACTTCAGATGGAACCATGGGATGGTCAAGGTTCTTTGTCAATCTCACAAATGGATAGGCAAGGAAAGGGTTCTTGTGATTGTCAACCAATTTCAGATACTTTAGACTGCAGCTCATCGAATTCCAAAGATGATAGTTCCAACATTCGAGGTGAAGATCCTACTACTTCAGGAGAAGATGTTGGGGTTGGGCTTGATTTTGATAATCAAAGTGCTGCAGCTGCTGCTTCTATGTCAGGGCAAAGACAGAGTACAAGAAAGTCTTTGATTGGTTCAAAGATAAGAAAAATATACCGGAAGCAGAAGTCGTTACGGAAGAAGCTTTTTCCTTGGAGTTATGATTGGCACAGAGAAGAGATTTGTGTGGATGAGGGAATAGTTGAATCTTCAGGACCTATTAGGAGGTGCAAGTCTGGAGTTGTTGATCATGATGCTGTGTTGAGAGCAATGGCTCGAGCGCTTGAAAATACAGAAGAGGCTTATATGGAAATGGTGGAAAAGGCTCTTGACATAAACCCAGAGCTTGCTTTGATGGGATCATGTGTTCTAGTGATGTTAATGAAGGATCAGGATGTATATGTTATGAACCTTGGGGATAGCTGCGCGATCTTGGCACAAGAAAGACCAAATGATCGCCACCCCAATCCAAATTTTGCAAGGGATGATTTAAGGCATAGAAATAGATCAAGAGAGTCGTTAGTGCGTATGGAGCTGGACAGAATATCAGAGGAGTCTCCTATGCATAACCAACACGGTCAAGTTAGCATAATAAATAAAAACAGAGACATCTCTATATGCAGATTGAAGATGAAGGCGGTTCAGCTTTCCACTGACCACAGCACAAGTATTGAAGAGGTTTGCTACCGTATTTCTGACAAGCTCAACTTTAATTATACATATATTGAATTTATTTGCTTTGAACTTTTGGTGATATTCATCACAACTGTGCCCTTGTAAATTTTAAAGATCTTCTTTTTTGCGACAAACATGCAGGGAAAATATGCATATGGCACATGTGATGTTTGAATCTAGAGTGATGAAAATGTAACAAAATGTTTTATGAATTTATGTATTTAGTTTGGACTTAATTGACAAAGTCAAATTTGCATTATAATATATGAATACTTCAACATGTTTGTTTTTTTGCCACTTGTTTGAGATTTTGATCTTAACTGTATAGTTTCCATTTTAAAGAGCCACTGGCTAGGCACTATAAGTTGATGAACTGAAAAAATGGTGGGCCCTTTGCACACATGGTGGGCTTATCCTCCCTTAGTGACCTGGGCATATGGTTGTGTTGCCAAATGTCCCAATCCATGGATATTTGTACTCAATGTGAATGACTAAGATAAATATTCAATTGATCAGTTGCCCTTGATGATGGCTTCAAATATTAGTTTGTTTATAATTTCCAGGAAACTATAAATAAAACTCATCAAGTTTATATATGTCAAACAAGAAATTGATCCAGATGCCATTAGGGAATGCTCACCTGTTCTTGATTGTCATTGGCAGGAAATCTTAAGAATAAAGGCAGAGCATCCTGATGATGAGAAAGCAATTTCCAATGATAGGGTAAAGGGGCAATTGAAAGTCACTAGAGCATTTGGTGCTGGTTTTTTGAAGAAGGTTGGTTGAGCTAGCATCTTTTACTGTTATTTTCTTTTTTTCTTTTCAGCTCTTGCTTTCTGTCATTTGAGAATGAATAACTAATAAAAATGATAAAAGAATAGAAACTATGATGGTTCCGTGTAAAATATATACAACCTGACAGAATTTCTTGATTGTTCTTTTGCTTCTGGCTCTATTCTTGATTTATTTCGTATTCTAGGTAACCTGTTGGGCTATCTATTATTTGGTCACAACAAGAATTTCTTTCAGTATTTTAAGTATTAGCAAGGTCAATGAAATTGATATTTATGTGGGTAAAATTTTCTACCGGATGCATAAAATTGATTGCCCTATAAGTTGTGGTTCTCAAGATGTGAGATTTCACAGGAATTTAAGAGAGCAGGTAACTGATTCATTTATGTCAAACGGATAGGATACATGGTGAAAAATATATGAATTTTGGATAAGAATTTCTTTTCAGATGTTGCACTGAAGGGCACGTCTATAGGAATTCGGAGAGGAAGTCTTGTTTGTGCTTCTGTCTGAAAATTGATGATTAGCATATCCACTTGAAGTCTGATACAGTGGTACCACTTCATTTCAGATATTTGTATATGTTGACATAAGGAAGCAAATGCACACATATGCACACAACTGTTGCTATGCCTACATTGTACTACTTAAACTTTCAGCAAATATGGCCAAGTTTAGTGTGCTTCATTGTGTTCAATCAAATTTGAATTCTTGCTAACTGGATCGTTCCATCAATAGTTTATATTTGCCTCTCTTTCTCTTCCTTCTTAAATAACCTCTAGTGATCTCTGTCAATCCTCTCCTGGCAGTTTGACATTCAAATCAGAAGCTGTTACTGGGCTTGATGAATGAAATTGTAAATAACTTTAATCACTGTATAATTTATCTTACATGAGGAGATGCTTAAGCAGTGTGCTTTGAAAACTAGGCCTGAAAGTTTTATGATGTCGGTGATGAGCACTCACTTTTAGTGGTTTCCTTGTAGAGCATTTGGAGACTACAACTTTATAGTGAAGTAAAACATGAGGTCAAGTTGGAGAGTGACATTAACCTTTCATCATTTGCTGCAGACCATGTTAACAAAAACCTATCTGCTTTATTTGTTGTCTTTCTATGCTATTTCATTGATTTAGAAATGATTGATTCTTTTTCATTTTTTGGATGCAGCCAACTTGTAATGAGGCTCTGCTAGAGATGTTTCAAATCGATTATGTGGGAGATGCTCCTTATGTTAGCTGCATCCCCTCTGTTGTTCATCATCGGCTCTCCCCAAGTGACCGATTCTTGGTACTATCATCTGATGGACTTTACCAGTATTTTAGCAATGAGGAAGTTGTTGCCCATGTCACTTGGTTCATGGAAAACGTCCCTGAAGGTGATCCTGCACAGTACCTTGTTGCAGAGCTTCTATTCCGTGCTGCCAAAAAGAATGGTAGGATTATTTAATATACTGTTTTTTATTTTATTTTATGTAGTTAAGGTTCAATTCTTGTGATTAGATGTAGCTGCTTAAACGATGTGGTTTTCTTTGAAAAAAACAACTGCAACATAGAACTTGGTAATTCTTCTTGACTTTGAGCATTCAACTCAATGGTTTTTTCTTCCTACTCCAGAAGGAATGGATTTAGATTTCATCCAGCTACTGCAATCTATGGAAAACCATGATTTAATTTGAACCTCTGTTTTGCACATTGTACTGATGGGATTTTGTTCATTTTTGCAGGAATGGATTTTCACGAATTGCTTGACATACCTCATGGAGATCGGCGTAAATATCATGATGATGTTTCTGTTATGGTTGTTTCATTGGAGGGAAGGATTTGGAGATCTTCTGGATGATTTTTTTTTCTTTTTTTTCCCCTCTTTTTGTCATATTTGCATATTGCCTCAACAGTGTAATCTTTTCAAGTAGGGGGTAAATCATTTATGCATTTCAGAAATGAATGAGAATCCTAGTGTCGGCATATCCCTCTCTCTTCAATAGAAGTTTCTCATTCTCGTGCCCGCATTTTCTTACTTCTTTTGTTGGCTTAATGGCGACACTACCTGATAAGGCAACTATCCTTTTGTTTTGCCTTTGACTAACTGAGGTTGCTCTTACCATGACAAGATCCGAACAACCCATATCTTTGGTATGACCGCCTAAGAGATTTACTACTTAAGCTAATTATACTACCTTTCATGCCCATTTTCAGCACTTTCTTCATGAAGACACTTTAAATTGAACTTCGAAGGATAATTTAGTTTACGGTGATTGAAGGCTGCCTATCATAATTGGTTCAACTTGGTTTCTTCTTGCGGATGAGTTGATTCATGCTGAAAGTTTCAGTTTACTTCTTCTGGGTCTAAACTAAAATTTGAAAGAATACAATAACTCGTTTTGTCTGGGAAATCAATGGTGAATTGTGTTGCCTTGGCTTGTGTAGATCTGTAGCTCTCTTTTCCTTCACCAAAACTATTACTTAATATCAATGGAGAAAGTCTTACTTCCGGGTTAATTTGTGGACCACAAAAATGCATGCTTCCACCTTTTGCAAGCTTTTTCTGGTAGCCAGGCTTAGGCTTTCATGCTTCAGTAGATCCACGAAAGACACTTGGTAACTGCAGGTTTACCTAATGAGCCACCGCATTACGGTAATTCTTATTAACTACACCTTTTTAGGAAACAAAAGAAAATACTTTACACTATTTCGTTTTTTTGAGTTTTCCAGACTATCATATTGTCCAAGTACGTGAAAAATGGGCAGTGGCACATCGGCATCAGTTTCTGCCATGACTTTTCGGGGTGCCGGAAACATTTTTCATCACTTTTCATTAAAGCCAAGTATTGCAGCTAACTTTATCTAAAGCTTACACTTACAGTCACCGGAACTTAAATGAACTGTATATATTGTATGCATGAGCTATCCGCTAATGATCCTGTAAAGCTGTAATGTAAGCTACCAGACAGGACAATTCAACCACTGCAACAACAGCTGGTAAACCAACCCATTTAAATTTATCCACAGTAAATATTTTACACGGTTGTTTTGCCAAGAATCAAGGTTTATGTTTGTTTGTCGTTAAACGAGGATGTTGGGAATGAAAACCAAAGTTGGAGACAAAAAAATGGAAAGCGAAAGTGTTAGTAGCCACGTCCATCCCATCCCAAAGGGCCCGTTTATCCTACTGGGGGGAATCGCTTTCTTCGTGGTAGGTATTGGCTGGCGCGATGCAAAGTGTCTTGCTCTTAGCTCCACTCCCCTCTTTTGATTTCCCAAAAGCCAGAAAAAATCACCCCTGCAAAACTCCCCACCAAACTTTTGATTATTTCTCTTCTTTCCCCTTCAACTTCTCATAATTTAACGCTTTTTTCTTCTCTTTAAGTTATTATCACGTTTGATCATTCATGATGTGGCTCCCAAGGTCCAATCCTTCTTTTTTCTCTTTATTCGTGCATTAAAATCTTTTAGCTTCCTTCTTCTTTACATGTTGTCCCCTTGAAAAGCCCAGAATGCTATGGGGTCAAAGATGGTAACAATTTGCTTTGTTTTTAAGTAGAAGGCCTGTTTCCAAACTTTAACGTCACATCTATACCACCCATGCCATAGCCATTTTGCTCTCTATATAAAGTAGACGAACCCTTTCTCTTCCAACAATCCAAACAAAAGCTTTTCTCAGCTTTTTGTCTTATCCATTATTCTCTCCTTTTGCTTCTCTTGATTGTTATCTTCATGGCTGCAGTCAAGGTTTTGGCATATGTCTTCGTCTTTATTGCCCTGTTCGGCGTGGTTGCTTCTGATCCTGACCTTCTCCAGGATCTCTGCGTGGCTAACAAAGCAGCAGGTACAAAAACCTTAATCGCAACACATACTTTTCTTGTTTTTTCCCTCACGAACAGGGCAATATTTGTCCAACAAATATCAATCTGATGTTATATGTACTTGTAGGAATAAAGGTGAATGGATTTCCATGCAAGGACGAAGCAAATGTAACCGAAGCTGATTTTTTCTTTAGCGGTCTAGCCAAGCCAGGAGTAATCAATAATTCGGTCGGATCAGTTGTAACATTAGCCAATGTTGACAAAATTCCAGGGCTTAACACCCTTGGCGTGTCACTTGCCCGCATCGACTATGAAGCTGGTGGCCTCAACCCACCCCACACTCACCCACGTGCCACTGAAATCATCTTTGTTCTTGATGGTGAATTGGATGCAGGATTCATCACTACAGGAAACAAGTTGATCTCCAAATCCCTCAAGAAAGGCGACATTTTTGTTTTCCCCAAGGGTCTTGTTCATTTCCAGAAGAACAATGGTGACAAGCCAGCTTCCGTGATCGCAGGATTCAACAGCCAACTTCCCGGAACTCAATCTATCGCCGTAACATTGTTTACCTCAACACCCCCGGTGCCAGACAATGTCTTGACCAAGGCCTTCCAAATTGGCACCAAGGAAGTCGACAAAATCAAAAACAAGCTTGCCCCCAAGAAAAGTTAAGAAGAGCCCCTCGTGTTCGAGGAGGAAATCCATCAAATCCTGGCTCTTCCAAACTTAATTGAGCGTACTATTTTGTATTAATTCTATATTCATTTTTCGAACTTGAAAGAAAAGCTATGGGTTATAATAATAATTTGAGTTGGGTCCAGCTGGATATTTGTAATTAACAGTATTCTATTACTTTGGAATTGAATAATGTAATTTAAACGGAAAATATTGTTTGTAGCATGTCTTTTTTATCATTTTATATTAAAATATTTGAAATGTTTTTTCAAATGGGTATATCATTATGATCTAATCATTCTAGAGAAGTAAATCTTCAATATATTAATTATCGACAATTTATTGGTTTCAATTGAAAGGCTATCATAAATTAAACAACTCTTTTATAGAGAAAAACATTTATTTCTCATATTGTCCACTACCATATTTCTTTTTCAAGAAATATAAAATACCTTCACCTTCCATTATTATTATAATAATTCTCCAACTACTTAAATTAAATCCGAATTCGCACATAAATAGATTGTAGTTGAAGTAATGGCCAGTCCCACCTTTTTATTGTCAACTTGCAACCATATTTTTCTAAACCCCAAATCACATGATATCCTGAGTCCACGATAGACCCCCACAATTCAACTCGATATGTTTAAGACTTATCCAATTTCACCGCAAAACCTCTTTGCCAATTTCCATTGGAATCCCGAATAATTCCCCGTAGCCGTCGTATCTAGAGTGCATCAATATGCACCATGATAGTTCACAGTAAATCACCCTAGAGGGGAAGGCTTCCAACCAATAAGGACTTCCTTTCTTCTGGTTATCGAATAACTAATGCTATTTGGCAGAGAGAAAACAGTGTGAATCGAAACTATCATACTGATCACATTTTCCTGTCCTCCAATGGGATTATGGGAACCGTCTTCTGTCAAAAGTAAACGAGTTACATCATTTTCACAAGAACCAACATGCTGTACCCAAAGTGATGGACCAGGGGCTGTCTATATAGATATTTAACACATTTAGGTTTGCCTATGCTTTCACTCGAATATGAAAGATGTTGAATGCTTTCATATTTTAGGATATATCCAAATTAGCTTTTAGAACAACAACTGTTGCCTGATGTGAGTACCATTGGGCTTCCAGTACAGGCCCAATAAACAAAACGATGCGTTTGGGCTGGGATTGAAACGCGTCGAAACGTAGCGTTTTGAGTTTACCCTATGGCTGTGTGATGTCATTTGTTAGAGCGCGGTGGGAGGCGAGGTGGGGAAGGAGGGGTAGTAATTTGAATCAAACGGAATTCAATTGGTTTTCCCGAGTTTTCTGTTTTACTGGAATTTTGGAGGAGGAAATTGGAAGATAATTATAATTGAAATGCAGAAGAAGAAGAATTTCAGAAAAAGAAGCATCCAAGAAGACGAAAGAGGTGATCCCGCCGCCGAATTAGACGATGAAGAAGATAGAAGGTAAATCTTTTACTTAGGGTTTTTCTTTTCTTTTCTTTTTTCCACTATTTGTTTTGATAATCTAAGTCGGAAATGTATGTATATAATAAAATAAATCAGCTAATAAAAAATCATTGAGTGTATAGATTGGCGTTAGAGGAAGTGAAATTCCTGCAGAAGCAGAGGGAGAGGAAATCAGGAATCCCTGCAATTCCTACGGTGCAAGCCGGAGGCGTCGTCGCTAAAGTTACCGAAAAGGGCGAAGCTGATGGAGAAAAGGAGGAGCTTGTTCTTCAAGACACCTTCGCTCAAGAAACCGCCGTCATGGTTGAGGATCCAAACATGTATGCATTTTACCTCTTTTTTCTTACAAGGAATAATTTTTTTTTTTTTAAAAAGGAGGATTATTTTTTATTTATTGATTAATTTTTGTCTCTAATTGTTTTGTAAACTTAGGGTAAAATATGTAGAGCAAGAATTAGCGAAGAAAAGAGGGAGGAACATGGATACGAAAAACGAAGTTGAGAATGATTTAACGCGAGCAGAAGATGAATTGTATAAAATTCCCGAGCATCTTAAAGTGAGTTTGAATTTCCTTATATAATGCCGATCATACTGCTAAGATTTTGATTTGCTGCTTATTCGTAATTGGCATTGGCAAACGAATTTGCTTGCTGTTTCTCATGAACATTTGTATTTGAATTTTTGTTGATTAAAAGAAGATTGCTTTTTGAGTTTCGGGTTATAGGTTTTCGCGCCCAGTTTTAATCAGCCCCTTAGTTTTAAGCATTCTACTTTCTTTCTCTCATATGAATAATGCTACCTCTTTATTTTGTTTAAACATGTTTTGTAAGTCCTTGCCTATTCCTTGCAGGTGAAGAAACGAAATTCAGAAGAAAGTTCGACACAGTGGACTACTGGGATCGCTGAAGTTCAGCTGCCTATTGAGTATGCCTTTTACTAACCTTTCATTTCAGAAGTATTTGTGCTTCGTTAATTTTCTTCTTTTTAGGGAAGATCTAGCTTCTAGGTCAGACCATGTTAAGCTGCGACACATTTGCTGCTAAGCAAGCTTGATATAATGTCTTTAGACCCACTAAATGATGGCCAAAGTGTGTGACACTGTCTTTGAAATAGATGAATTGATGATGTATGCTAATTGTTTCTTTGCTTTCAGATACAAGTTAAGAAATATAGAGGAAACAGAAGCTGCCAAAAAGCTTCTACAAGAAAAGAGGCTCATGGGACGGGCAAAATCAGAAGTTAGCATCCCATCAAGTTTCAGTGCTGATTATTTTCAGCGTGGCAGGGATTATGCAGAAAAACTTAGAAGAGGTTGGTTACCTGTTCTTTTTATGCTATTGTAATGAAAGGTTAATGAATTTTTCTTCAGTTTACCTTTGATGGGATTTTGATTGTGCTCTTTCACTAGTTTATATTACATGGCTCTATTTTGTCATTGCTTGATGTGAATTTGTAATCTCCAATTCTTATTGTTCTGCTTTTGTTTCTTTAGTAAGGTATGTGCTGTTCATTCTTTCCCACCTTTTTCCTTCTCATGAACTTTGCAGAACATCCTGAGTTGTACAAGGACAGGGGTTCACAGGATGAGAGCGCTGGCTCCAGGCCAACTGATACAAGCACTGATGCAGCAGGAAGTAGGCAAGCTGCAACAGATGAGTTTATGTTAGAGCGCTTCCGAAAACGAGAACGCCAACGTGTAATGAGGAGATAACAAATGGTTATACAAGCAGCCTGTCAACCATACTGAAATTTGAACCAGCATTTGTGGTGCTTTACATGTCCTTCGATAGGCTATAATGCTACCTCTGCACCAAGTTGTCCAGTTAGAAAGTAAAGGACGTCTTACTACTACTATTAGTTACTTTTCTTATGGCTGATGTAATGTTGTACATTTTCAATTGAGATCTGTAATTCTCTTACTAAGTTATGAATATGGAAAGCTAATGTTGGAAATATACTTTTATGATATTTTTAAATAATTTTTCCCAAATCATTGCATACCAACTATCAAGTACTAGCTAGTATATAGGTGGACGCACAGCAGGGAGACAGTAGGATTCATTAAACAAACATTATTGCAGGAAGACCTGGTAGACCTATTATTACATGGCCTATAGTTTGCACTTGTTCTACCATTCCATTAAAGCGGCATAGAGAATGGTTTATATATGTTGTAAATCACTTGCTGGGCTTCATTGCAAAAGGCTACGCCACAACCCAAGTGATTACACTTTGTATAATACAGTTTGGAAGAAGAGAAAAAAAAAACAAAGGGGGTTTGGCGCAACAAAATACATGAACAATAGGAAAGATCTAAAACTGAACGTTGCTTTTGAAGGACTGGCCGAATTGCCAAGTGGAAGGCACCACATTGAGAGCAGTTCGAATCATTCCATTACTGCTTTGGACCCTGAAGGATAAGCTCTGACCGTTTAGATAGCTTAAGCTCTGCCAGTTGGCACCCCAGTTTCTCGACATGGTTTCCCATTTATTGGTTTTGGACCCCTTTATCCATACCTTGGAAATCTCTCCAGCACCTCCAACATTTGATATGAGCACCAACTCGAAATAGTCCCTTCCTGTGATGGTGAATCTGATGCCACCGCTTCTCCTGCATCCTACCCTGGCAAACACAAAACAGAATTCAACTTCTCATCAGTAATCGTTTATCCACAAATAGTCTTAGCCTTATTTCAATAACAATGCATAAATTCAAGTTGAACATTATCAGGGTCAAGCATTATCAGGGCATAGATGAAACAACATACTTCCTATAGAGGATTGGTACGATCCCAGCTTTGTACTGGGCGATGGTCTGGAATGCAGGTTGAGACATGTCGAAGTGTGGTCGGGGAGGATTACACCAACCACCATTGTCACTTGGGAGTGCATAGTTCGGAGGACAGAAGTTGGTGGCCGTGATGGTAATGTATTTGCCCTTGAGGCACCATTGCGGTACCTTTGCCGCATCGCAGACTATCTGATAGCAGCCTCCGCATGACTTGCCATCGTTAAACAAAGCTGTGCTGAGTGCAGCTGTTTCTATTCCGTAACCATCCGTATTGAGATTACCATAACCACAAGCTCCTCCTGGAAACACACAACATGGTAATCATCAGTTCAAGACCAACAGCTCTAACTCATGCATTAAAATGAGCAGATTAACATAAAGAAAGAAATAAAAAATTAAAACTTACCCATTGTGCCGGAAGCATCACTTCCACCGTAGAAAGTTGCATGGGCTGGAAGCCAAACGGCAGCAGATGCTACGTGAAATGTTGCGGAAAAGAACCCCACAAGGAGGATGGCAGTGGTGAATAGAAAGGCACTCTCCATTCTGCTTTTCGTTTCTCCCTCCCTCTGAAAACAATGGATTTTTTCCTTTCTGCTGATGCTGATGAACTTACAGCTAAGGGTGAGTTTGATGCTGCAGATGCCAAAATCCTAAATATCTATAGTCAGTGCTAGCTAGCTGATAATAATAAAAAAATTATATGAAAGGAATTGTTAGACATTAAGCTATCATTGCAAATTTGTTGACTTGATGAAGGTATTCCATGTTTCTTTAATGAGAGAAATAATCCGTAATTCATGATGTCATACGGAAATTCTCATTTAAATATTCAAACCCATGTGGCAGTAGTTATGAACTTGCTGCTTCAGTTTATTAGTTTTTCTTTTATGCCCCTTCCTCTCTCGTCATCATTCCTCAATTTTCGTGAAGATGACATTGATCATCAAAAATTTTCTTTTTCTTAATGGAAGTACGTAGTAATTATTAACATTTTCTACTAAAAATAAAAAAAATGAATATTATAATTTCAAAAGCTTTTATATCCATACCTAGGTGCAAATTATGTTTTAAGAAGTTTCTAAAATATTCAAAAAATTTAAATATATTTTCATTTTTTATTATACTTCATCAAATTTTTATATTTTTATTTTAAATTAAATAAACTCTTATAATTAATTGTTATTAATGAACATTAATTAAAACACCACTTGTCATTTTATACCCATATAATTATGCATCATATCATATTAGCATAACACATCATTATTCACTATAATATATTAACATGCCATGCATAATATGTCAACATGACATACCTACACCATATCACATAAGAATAATGAATAACATTAGTCATAAGAAACTATTTAATTTAAAATAAAAATATAAAAATTTGATTAAAATTAATAAAAAATAAAAATTTATTTAAAAATCTTTAAATAGTTTAAATTTCATTTTTAAGTATATATTATACTTTTAAAACATTAATGTTTCGAAATGATGTAAAATATATCGAAAGGTATTAATACCAATAAAATGAACATATATAGGTGTGTAAAAGGAAAAAATTAGAAGAAAATTTAATGCATATGGACAGATCAGCACTGCATCAACTAACATACAGTTTTAGAAGGAAAATAGTGAAGACAATTCACCGACAAAATCACATTCACATTACCTCAAAGCAAAGGTCTAATTATTGGCAGAGTCATTTCCATTCAATTTCTCTGAAATTCTCAGACGGTGCTGCATGGGATTGTTTCGTAAATTCAAGGCATTATATTTCCCGTCGTACGTTATAGTACAGTTGACCTGCAAATTGTCAAGCAGGCAAATATAAAACCAGCAGAGGAATTTTATAATCGTTTCTAGGCAGAAACTTAAGGTTGAAAACTGCAACTACGACCCTTCAACATGAAATGGATAGGGAGACTGAAAAATCGAAGTCAACTCCCCAAAATAAAACCATATTTAATTGATTATTAGACAGGTTTTGCAGCAGCAGTTACATGCAACCACCATGTCCGTACCTTACTTACAGAAGAAATAAAAAGAAAAATAATTCTTCGGTTGATAAGTAGAACCGTATATCATGGCATGACTTAAGGGACGTACACCTATAGAGCACATGGGTGATGCCATGTTCACCATTTGAGAATTTCCCATCCAACCACTTGCTCACACATGGTCTCACGTTCTGGGATTCTATTGGTGAAGGGAAATTGTATTTTATTTGATTTTTTTATAAAAAAAAAAAGGAGTATGGAAGTCATGGCTCATGGCTTGACGGAGAAGAAGAGTGTCTGAAAGAGCCATGCAAATGCTACAATAATAACTAATCAAATACCGTTGATTGCAGTTTAATTTTCAGTTTCTAAATGGTAAGTACAATCTTTGCAATTGGAAATGATGTGGAAAGGGATAAATGGTACTGATGCTATGCCTTACTTCACAATGAAGGCTAAAAAGACTGCTGGGGTTGCTGACAATACTTGAGAATTAGCCAAGGAAAGTTCATTTGAGGAAACAAAGCTTAATTTTCACTTTCACTCCAATGAAAAGTCCATCAACGTTGTATTATTCCTAGTCAAAATTCTTGTTTGTGTCATCAAACCTCCATTATTGTATCTATACTGCCCTTTACTTTACCCTAACGTAATTGTACTCAACATTTTTAAGCACTGTACTATTCATATGAGTATGACGTTTGAATTTTCAAAATTAATGTAAAAATTTATCAAAACATAGCATATCCACGTCGACTACATGCCTTGTACCGAAATCACGTAACATAAGCAGCAATGATGTAGAGTTAACTTGAAGTTCAAACCTATATAATACTACATTTCAACTTGTTAAGTTTAAAGCAAAATTAATGGCTAAAATATTCAAAAAAATTTATATTTTTTAATAAACTCTTTTCTTTATATTATATTTAATTAAGTTCCTAAAGAATTATTTTTATTTAATGCCAAGTCATTATGTGCCTGATTTTTTCTCCAAATTAGCATACATATGAAAAAAATATGAAAATTCATGCTAAATTTATGTTTTCATGACATGTAAAATCATCCTTATATGACATGTCACACAACGTCTACAAAACCCTTTTTTGTCAATATATGCCATGTAGATATTAGTGTGGTAGAGGGATGTAGATGCTACAATGATAAAGATATGAACATTTTAATGATTTTCATGAAAAATAATTACATACTTAAACACAAATAATAATAATTTAAGAATTAAATTAGATACGATAAAAGAATAAGAACTTATCAAAATAATTTAGAATAGGGCATGAGCCCTTTAATATTTTAGCCAAAATTAATCTAATAAAGTGAGAATTGTAACATTTTAACAATTTGTCATCATTGAAATTTGCAGAGAACTGAATACAAGAGGAAACCAACCAAAGATGTGTTCCAATAACTGGTAAGTGGTAACTGACAAGAGGGCTGTCTTTTAATTTTGTCCCTTACAATTCTATGAACCAAAGAGGAAGGATGGGATAACAAAGGTATAGCAATTTACATCACATTAGCTACTATATGGATGAACAAATTCTTTCACACATTGGGACCAATATACAAAACCACAGCAAATACCTGTTTTGAACATTCCAATCAAAACTATTCAAAATGCTTGAAATTATTTAAGAAATCACGTTCACTTAAACTTCCATGTTAAAAAACAAATGTAATTGGGACTGAAATTGGATGTTCTATGAGAATTTACCTATCAAGATTCAAAAAGAGGATTTTGAAGTAAAGAACGAGCATTATTCAACATAGCACTAGCCTCCCCATTTGATCCATCTACCAACCTAAGTTCATTTATCTCCTCCTGCCATTTGTCCATATGTTCTTTATGTATCCTGAAACCCCACAAAACCAATCTAAAGAAACAGCATTCTCCATCTTTAGATTCCTTAAATTCATAAATAATTGTATCTTACATAATCAGCCGCTCTTCAAATTCTTCACTCAACTCCTTGAACATCGTCTTCCATGATTCCAGTAGCTCCGAAACCTCCACAAAAATTATAAGAACACTATTTTAAAAAAACGAAATTAATAGGAGCATCTGCATAAAATCAAAAGGATTTTGTGATCGATTATCGTTACCAGTTGAGTAAAGCGCTCGATCTTTTCAAAAATGTGAGAGATATTGAGTTCCATTTCTTCAGATCCAACAATGTTTGTCTCAGATTGTTCCTTCTCTGTTGTTTCCATAACAGTTTCATTGCTTACATGATCTTCCTCTTTTTCTTCCATCTAACATTTAGAATAATTAGATATTTGATTAAAAAAGAAAAGAAGAAGAAGAAGAACATAAACAGATCAAAGAGAGTTACGTTCGGTTTCATGCGTTTCCTCATAGCTTCATTCCTCCCACTTTCCATCTTAATACCTCAAAAGTGAATATATCTGATCATGCAAACAAAAGACAATTGATTCAATAAAAGATTCATGGTCAATAGAATTGATGCAATAATCTATGGAGAAACATAATTACCGGAGAGAAAGGAAGAGCGAAATCGAAATGGAAAATCGAGAGACGCTTTGGAGAAAAACCCGTGGCTTTCGAATTTTGGAAATACTGGAATGCGCGCGAATTTCAATTTATTTCGTATCTATTGGGTGGGCTGAAATGAAATGGGTTTTTTAGGCCCAAATAGATTGAAACGGGTTTTAATTGCCGTCCAGTAAGATTTTGATTGGGCCTTTAATGGGGAAGAGGAGGGAGATTTGTTTGGTTTTTTGTGGGTTAAATTCAAACCTAATCCATTTAAAAATTAAAATAAAATCCAAAACTTAATGCAGAATAATCTCAGGTCATTCCAACCAAGATACAGTATTTATTTAAAAAATATTTTTTGCTTCTATTTAATCTTATTTTATTCAAAAAGAATTTGTCTTTTATGTCTCTCTTTTCTTGGCTGAGCAGGGACCTTTAGTAAAATTATAAAGCAATAAGGACAAATCTTGAAATAATTAGTTATGAGTTTGGTTTGATCATTAATGACTGATGAGTAAACAAAGAGTATACTCCAAACAAATTCGTTGAAAATGAGTTTGGATTGAGACAAGATGAAAATAGATACATTGACTCAAGCTGAAATATTGCTTGAATATCCAAGTTGTTAAGGAGTAAATTGAGATTACAAACAAGTTATTGGGGGTAAATGTGAAATTCATCAAAACTATGTCATGTAAAATCCCAGAGTGGTTAAGCTGAAGAAAGCCCAAGCCTCCAGATCCAGCGTGTCAGCGTCAGAGAAACTAAAAAAGGAAAGGAAAAAGAAAAGCTGAAAAGGACATTCAATTTTACTCCTCTGTACTCATGCACTCCGCAGTCCTACACATACTTTGGAACTTTACCCAATTTTCTCTCCATTGTTGCTTCTCTTTGACGGTTCATTTCATTGTCACCTTTTTACACTTCCCCAGTTCCTCAGTTCACACTTCAAGCTCCTTAACAGCCTTACTTTCTAGTTCCGGCCCGCCCATAGCTCCAAATGTCCATGTTTAAATCCTACCTTAATTCTTGCTTCACTTTTCTGCTGTTGGCAGGGCAACCTCAAGGGTTTCTTTTTCTTTTTCTTTTTTAATTTTTTGAAGTTTCCATCATTTGAAAGTTGAAACCTCCTCCTTCAGAGACCAGAAAGATGCCACCCCAGTTACAGAAACATGTTCTTTCACCAAATACACTACTCTTCTCAATTCTGGTCAGTCTATTCATGTTCAAGGCAGTTAGTTCAGCGGCTGTTTTTAAAGATAAAGATGCTTTGTTGCAGTTCAAATCTGCTATAGTTGAAGACCCATTAGGGTTCACTTCTAGTTGGAACCCAAATGATAAAGACCCTTGCTTTTGGCATGGTGTTACATGTGACCCACTTTCAGGTCGAGTCATTAGCCTCAATCTTTCTTCTAACCTCAATTCTACATGTTCTCTACTTTCACTTCCTACATCAACAACAGTAACAGCTGGTCAAGTTGGAGGTAACTTTTCTTTGCTATATCCTTGTTTGCATGTTGGTGCTGATGACAAGATTTCTTTTGCTAAATTGAGAGGTAAATTGTCTCCTTCAATTGGCTATCTTACAAAGCTTAGAGTTTTGTCACTTGGGTTCAATGCATTCTTCGGTGAGCTTCCTTTGGATATTGGAAAGCTTAATCTTTTGGAAATTCTTGATTTAGGTTTTAATGCTTTTCATGGTCCCATACCAGCCACTTTAAAAAACTGTACTGCACTGAGGGTTATTAATCTTTCTGGGAATCAATTGAATGGTACAATTCCTGCGATATTTAGGCAGTCTGTAAGTTTGCAAGTTGTTGACTTTTCTTTCAATGGGTTGAGTGGTGAAATTCCAGAGGAATTAGGTGAGAATTGTGGGAGTCTAGTGCATCTCCATCTTGCAAGCAATGGGCTTTCGGGTTCAATTCCTTCCAAATTGGGGAATTGTGGTGAGCTTAAGTCTTTGATACTGTCTTCTAATATGCTGCAAGATGATATTCCTTCAAGTCTTGGTAAACTTGAGAATCTTGAAGCATTGGACTTGTCCAGGAATTTCTTGAGTGGGATTTTACCGCCGGATTTGGGTAATTGTAAGCAGTTGAAATTGCTTGTATTGAAGAACAACTATGGTCCTCTGTTTTCAAGGAAAGACTCTAGCTTGACATTTCAGCAAGAGGACGATGGGGAGGTGGATTATAATTATTTTGAGGGGAAACTACCTGAGGGTATTGTAGAACTTCCCAATATTCGTGTACTTTGGGTGCCAAATGCAAATTTGGAGGGCAGTTTTCCTCAGACATGGGGGTCGTGTTCTAACTTGAATATGCTGAATTTAGCGCAGAATTTCTTGACTGGACAAATACCTGTGTCCTTTGGTAATTGTAAGAGTTTGCAATTCCTTGATTTGAGCTCCAATAACTTGACTGGTTTGCTTCCAACAGAAATTTCTGTTCCGTGTATGGTTGTGTTCAACGTCAGCCAAAATTCCTTGGTTGGGAACATCTCAAGATTTTCTTCTGGTGAGTGCTCTAATAGTTCTGTGAATTTGTCAGGGTCACAAGTGGACTTGGTTGGTTTCTACTCTTCTTTCTTTTATAGGAATACCCTCGTGAATGTTGGTCCATCCTCCTTTTCGTCAAGTGAATTTGTTGTATTGCATGATCTCAGCAAGAATCAATTCACCGGCTCAGTGCCTCCATTTTTCATTTCTTCATACAGTTTGTCTGTTAAGCCATGTTATGGTTTCTGGTTGAATGGAAACAAGTTTGAAGGTAATCTTTCAGCATATTCTTTTGATCCTTGTCTAAGTTTGGATGGTTTGATCTTTGATATTAGCAGCAACAAGATTGTAGATCAGCTTCCTTCAGACATAGGTAGCAACTGTAAGTGTATGAAATTTTTAAGTGTAGCAAGCAATGAATTTGTTGGTTCAATTCCTACATCATTCACTAACATGGTTTCCCTAGTTAAGCTTAACCTCAGTGAAAATAGATTGCAAGGTCCTATTCCATCTTATATTGGAGAGATGAAGGATATGAGGTACCTTTCGCTTTCTAGTAATAACTTTACTGGTGCAATACCTCAGGATTTTATTAAACTGTATTCAGTAGAGGTTTTGGAGCTTTCTTCAAACTCCCTCTCAGGAGAGATACCACCTGATTTGGCCAAGCTCAAGCACCTTAGTATTCTGCGGTTAGATCATAACAAGCTCACTGGGCAGATACCCTCTGGCTTTAGTAACATTACTACACTTTCAGTATTCAATGTTTCTTTCAACAATTTGTCTGGATCTATTCCCCTGAATTCAAATTCAATAAATTGCGAAAGTGTGAAAGGAAATCCTAACCTTCAGCCATGTCGCCCTGATCAATCATCCTCTGAATTGGAGCACCAGCACTTTGGTAATATTTCACAACAAGGAGCTTATTCTCCCATGGAAAGCATACAGAAAAATGGCAGTGGATTCAGTCCACTAGAAATTGCCTCCATCACATCGGCTTCAATAATTTTTTCTGTCCTCATAGCATTGATTTTCCTCCTTGTATGCATGAAGAAATTTGCATGCAATTCTGTATCTGATCAAGTTTCAGGGAGGAAAGAAGTTGTAACTTGCAACAGCATCGGAGTACAGCTGACATATGAAAATGTTGTCAGGGCCACAGGTTGTTTCAATCTCCAAAACTGCATTGGAAGTGGAGGTTTTGGAGCAACCTACAAGGCTGAAATCACTCCAGGGGTTGTGGTTTCGGTCAAGCGGCTCTCAGTTGGGAGGTTTCAAGGTGTTCAACAGTTTGCTGCTGAGATCAAGACTCTTGGACGGGTGCAGCATCCGAATCTTGTAACACTTATAGGTTACCATGTTAGTGAGGTTGAAATGTTCCTGATCTATAACTACTTGCCTGGTGGCAATTTGGAAAAATTCATCCAGGAGCGATCAAGCAGGACAGTAGAATGGAGTATGCTACACAAGATTGCTCTGGATATAGCACGTGCCCTTACTTATTTGCATGATGAGTGTGTCCCTAGGGTATTGCACCGTGACATCAAGCCAAGCAACATTCTTTTGGATAATAACTTCAATGCATACCTATCTGATTTTGGCCTTGCTAGGCTTCTCGGCACTTCTGAGACTCATGCAACTACTGATGTTGCAGGGACTTTTGGATATGTTGCCCCTGAATATGCTCTGACATGCCGCGTGTCTGATAAGGCAGATGTGTATAGTTATGGTGTTGTTCTTCTGGAATTATTATCTGACAAGAAGGCTTTGGATCCATCCTTCTCTTCTTTTGGAAATGGTTTCAACATTGTGACGTGGGCGAGCATGCTTCTTGGGCAGGGGCGAGGCTGTGAGTTTTTTACTGCTGGTCTGTGGGATTCTGGACCTCAAGATGATCTAATTGAGGTGCTTCATTTGGCTGTTAAATGTACTGGTGAATATCTTTCAGCCAGGCCTTCTATGAGGCAAGTAGCCCAAAGATTGAAAGGCATTCAGCCTGCAACAGCCTAAAGTATTTTTCCTTTTCCCTTTTTTGTTTCTCCTTTTAAGATGCCTCTTCTGTGAGTCAGCAATATCATTGCCAAGCCCATAGTTTCTTATTCGCCATTGATTAGAGTACATTTCTTGTAAAGAAACCATCAAAGGAATTCTTGTAAGATGTTTTAATCAAAAATTTCCCTCAGATTACCTGTTTTTGAGGTTACTGGTTTGAATCTACCATGATTTGATTGAAGCCAAATCGGAACAGAAGAACAAGGTCAAAGTGTTTCTTTTCCCTCTTTATCTGGAACATGCGCAGTGGGAAGCCGAATCATTAACTGCTGCCACAAGTACTTTCGGTTAATTTCCCTTTTAGATCAAGCAGAACTTATTTTATTCCTTCAGTTATTTATTTCTAAGATTATGTTTATCAGTTCCTCAGATTTCATTGGGGGATGTGTCACCAATATGTTATTGCATACACTTCGGTTGGCTGATTGTCATGCATCAAGGATATATTCGTACCTTAGCTCAATACCTCAATATATATGCTTGCTAATCAGCCGCATTTTTTTACTTGTAAGAAG